ATTATAATCAACACAATGGAATACCAAGAACATTGTGGAATTACCTTGACTTTGTTTCCTTGCTGGATTACTTCTGACTTTGGTCTTCCTTGAAGGATTACTTCTGACTTTGGTCTTCCTCGCTGGATTACATCAAGCTCAAGGACATTTGAAGGTCTAAGTTCACGGTTGGAATTCATCCCCATGGACAGGTGATGATTTCCAAAGGGGGGGACTGTAGTGAACTAGATGACCTCAAATCTACCAGATGGACAGAGACTGTTATTTTCATTGATCTGAATAAGCTGGGCCATCTGATGAACTTTCTTTCTTGAATTAATCAAGCAGAAAAGACAATTCTTTATAATCATTACTGTCTTACAAATGTTTGATAATCAAATTGTGTTAGTTCACTCAATGCTTTACAGGTTGAAAAGAACTACTCATTTTTATTTTACATAAACAGTAAGTAATGATTTTTATTCCTCATTCAAACAAGAAATCACCTGAATATGCATTTCTTGATTTTCTGTCTGAAATGAGTCAAGTCGTAAGTGTGTGAAAGTTGAAGCTTCGGTCAACTAAATGTTTACTGAAGAAGAAATGTCATGTTTAAACTTTTTCAGAAGATTACCAAGAGTTGGCTCCACGAAGTCTGCTTTTTGCAATAATCTCTCTGTCAGTTGTTAAACAAATTTCATTCTCTGACCTCGACTTTTGATAAACACCTTACGTCAAAACCACACCTCTTTCTGGTCCATCCACGAATCAGAAAGCTCTGAAGTAAACTCGGAAGTAAACTCATTTAAAATGTGACAACTTCCCGGTTCTACACAGAGAACAGTCTAGAGAGAGTTGGAATGGTGAAGAGTGCAGGAGATTCCATAGAGAGAGTTGGAATGGAGAATGGAAAAGTTCTCATGTAGTGCTCAAGGAGTTCTGAAGAGAATTCGAGAATTCAGGATGATCCAGAGACGTTTGGAATTATAATTTCTGTTTGAACTAACCACGCACGACTCTCTAAGGATTTTAGCAGTTCTCAACGGAGACGCTGATATCAGTTGAAAAGGATTCTTACTGAGGTGATCGATCGTCAACAAGGTAAAACTTCTTCTTCGACCAAGTGTACCGTGGGCAAAGCTGAGATCTGACGGAGCGTGCAATTTCTGGTCAAACAGATTAAATTCCCTCACATATTCCTCTGTAAGATAAATCTCAATTTCCTCTTAAACTCACCTCTCTCTCGTAAATCAGTACAGATATTTTTAGAAATATCTGAAGCAAAGTCCTCAAATCACCGCCGAGTGATTTGAAGTTCATTATTTGTGAAACTGTCTGTTATTCTTTTCATATTTTGCCAAATTAATGTAAATGTTTGATGTTAAACTTTGATTCTGAAAATAAATGACTCCATTCATTTGATGGGTCAAAGGTAATGACGTCTCTCGTTCACATTTCTGTTAAATTCAATGCACGGCATTACACAGTCAGAAAAATGAAGAACTCGTGAAAAGTATGCATAAATATATTTCATATATTTGTACTACAACTAGTGACACGTACCAACGTGACTCACTACAGGGAGCTTCATTGCGGTGGATACCTGAGTGAGCAGCATGGATTGTTTAATTAAAATAATCAAGCACAACCCGAACCGAGCCTTTGGTCCATCCCCTTGACCACTGAGTGGGCCAGGCCACCTGGAAATGTCCCAGTGCTCCCCATGGCCAGTCTGCCCCGGGCACTGATTGGCTCAGTAACCGTAGCATCAGTCTGTCTGCGCTCTTTTGTTGTGCTCTTTTAGAGTATTTAGAGAGTTTAGAACATTAAGAGTGTGGGAAGGGTTTATAAAGCCTTAATATATATAAATACCAAAATAAATATGTCTGTACTTCGTGGATTTTCACTTATCGCGGGGGTGTCTAGAACGTAACTTTCGCAATAAGCGAGAGACTTCTGTACTGTACAATGTTAAAAATAAGATGCTTTTTATAAGATATGTTAGAAATGTTATGATAAGACCATCTTAGTTCCCTTTCGGTCAGTATACACGGTACAACAAATGAGTATTGGGTATTGCGCCCTCGCAAGACCATTTCAGGTTGTTCTTGCGAGGGCGCAATCCCCCATACTCATGTGTTGTACCTCGTTTCCCTCCTCATGGAACATTGGTTGTATTCGGTTTCTTTTCAAACTCAAAAAAATGTTATTTTGAAATCAAACATATTTTTTTTTATACTGACAGATTTGTTTATCGTTATTTTTCTGCTTGATAACTATCACAGCAAAGTATCAACACACATACCAGTATGTTCTCTGTGGCTTCTTTGTCTCTTAGTTATTAAACCCTAAATGCAGTGCAGTGTTTCTTCCTACTGTTCTAGAAAAATGGAAACTCCTAAAGAAGTAATTAAAAAAATAATAATTAAAATTATAACTGGAACAGAAGGAGATGACTGTAAAATCAGGCACACTTTGCAAGTTTTTTTTTTCGTTCGGAAGACAAAAAGGCAGCAGATGGTCTGCAGTCCTGGCAGCGCCACAAAAGAGCTTGTCCTTTCACCTCCAGGTTGATGGTTCAATTCCCACCTGGCCTGCTGAAATCCATCATGCCTTTTTAGAGCCAACTCAGCCAGTCTGTCTCCCCGCACAGGGAGCAATATGGTGGAAAACGAATTGTCACTGCTGGATTTGAATATTTAGCTACTGGCGTCTGTTTTGGAGGCAGAAACTTGGTTTAGCATGTTTAGTTCAAGGTCCAAATGCAACTGCTTGTTTGGAGATTTTTGATGCTGATTGTGGAGCATGTATCAGTAAAGAATAATAATAAATGGACAAATTAAATAAACCTTTAATTGCACAACGTATATAATAAAACACTACTTTGTACTGTTCATCAGCTGTTGCAGTTGTAAACAGATTATTGCATAATGTTTGACTCAAAAGACAAAGTGAAGCCACGTTTCTGTTACATAAAATAAATTTTGTATGTCTGCATGTTCTGTATTTACACTAAACAAATGTACTGTTTGATTTTTATGGGACTTTAAAATGTCTACTTTGATGTGCTTCATTTTATTTTCTACCCTGCTGGCCTTGAGATCAGCATTTTTATGATAAACATTAATAATAACGTTAAATTCTGAGTTGTTCATAGATGAAATTAGAGCTTGAGTTGGTTTGCTTTCAGTTCATTTATTTCAAATCAATTAAAAATCTTTTCGAAAAACAGACATTTTCGATTCAGTACAAAAAAAAAACTAAATATCATGACATTTGAGTTTGTTCAAAGCCAGTTGATGTAATTTGTTCTTTTTTTTCTTTTCTGCAGGCCACAGAGAGTGAGTTGGGTGATGTGGACCTTTCTGGACTTCCAGAGACAGCGGTAGACAGCGAGGAAGAGGAGGAGGAAGATGAGGACCTGGAGAGAGCTTCAGACACTCTTCTGGGTCGAGACCTTGTTCGAGAGTGTCTGGAAAAAGATCCAGCGGACCGCAACGACGATGACATTGGTCAGTTTAACTCCCTGTCATAACTTGTTTTCCTTTTTCAAATTAAAAGCTCAGACTTTTACTAAAAGGCTAACACACTTTACATCTGTGTTATCTGGACACTATCAATAGAGTGAATGTTTATGAAGCATTCACACTATTGTGATCCATTTTCCTTCCGTACATTTTTCAGCATCTTTCTCGTTCCACAATTTTGGTGCTATTTCAACAGATCATACATGAAAACGTTCAGCTCGTTCAGGACAATCCTGCTATGACTTTTGGTATTGGTGCAACTTTAGCTTTTTGAAATATTTAGCCTATGCTGTCATTTGTTAAGAAATGAATTAAGCTCATTTTACCTCCTTCAAATATTTAGATCTGTTTACAACCTTTTACTGCTCCTTTCACGTTGTGTTCTGCTTCAGCTTCTTTCAGCTTCATTTGGTAAAAATTTAATCTTTTTTCCAGCTACTTACTAATTTCAGCTGTTTTGTGATCCTTTTAGATTATTTCTAACTACAACACTTTTGTGCTTCTTTCAGCTAATTTCAGCTTGTTATGCTCTGTTCAGGTTATTTATGCAAGTTCACGCTTTTTCTGCTATTCCAGCTACTATTTAGCTGTTTTATGTTAATTTTAGCTTTTTCAGCTAATTCCATGTTTTTGGCACGCATTTCAACCTTTTTCAGTGTAATTCAGCAAAAACATGCTCTCTCCACTTATGGCTGGTAATTTAAGCTTCTTTTTGCTTTTTAGCTACTTTTCAGCTGTTTTTTTGTGTGTGCTTATTTCAGCTTTTTAAAAAATATATAAGTTCCACTATTTTGTCATAATTTCTGCTTCTTTCAGCAAACGTGTTATTTCTGCTTTCTTCTGCTAATTTCAGCTTGTGGTACCTTTTCAGCATTTTTTTTTTTTAGTATTTATTAGCTAATTTCAGCTGTTTTCAGAAAAACAAGTTTTTCATGGTAATTTCTGCTACTTTCAACCTAATTAACATCTTTCTGCTAATTACAGCTTGTTACGCTCCTTTCAGCTTTTTTCTGCTCATTTCAGCTTTTTCTGCTATTTCAGCTACTATTTAGCTGTTGTAAATTTAGCTTTTTCATCTCCTTCCACTTCCTTTTGGTAGTTAAAGCTTCTTTCGGCCTTTTCAGCTACTTTTAGCTATTTTAATTTGCTAATTTCTGCATGATTTAGCTAAATTCCTAAATTCTGTGCTCATTTCCTCCTATTTAAACCTAATTTAGCAAATATGTGTTCTTTCTGCTTTCTTCTGCTAATTTAGGCTTGGTCTTCATTTTCAGCTACATTTCAGCATAACTAATTTCAGCTGTTTTTCAGCAAGTTTTTCAGCAGTAAGCATTCACACTGCTTTTTCAAAGGAAATGCAATTTCTCAAGTTAAAAGTGGATTCATTGGGCTCACATTTTAATGACTCTGTGTTATCAGTTTTGAAGTACCAATCATCCAAATCATTATACACCCCCCCCCCCCCCCCCACACACACACACACACACCTTTAAAGACCACCTGTATTGATGTCTAAACAGCAGTGCCCTTCTAATGTGTAATTTTGAGCAGGCAATGAGAGAAACTATCTCATTAGTGAGAACCAGTGGGGTCCTGGGGAAGAAGGTGACTGCATCAGAGAGGTTGTAAAGGCCTGGCCTGCTGCGCCCACGGGGGGTGGGGGGTCTGGCCTTTTCACAGCCTTCCTGGTATCAGACAGCTGAAGAGGGAATATATCCCACACAAGCTAGACAATATTTGACACGAGCACACTTTCTCTATGCTTTTTATCTGGAAAAGTCTGTTTATATTACTCAGACTTTTTATAAAAAATCTTTTTCCTTGAGGGGCACGTGAATAAAAACAAGTTTGACTGTGGTAAATTGTTTTTATCTGGCAGAAGCTTTTATGATGATTTACATGTTTGGAGCATATCAGATGAAAAAGTTGGTCAGTTTGGGGATTCAGTCATCAACTTTCTAACACAACTCATGAGTTTAGCATGTTCATGTAATATATTTCTTATTGCAATCTTATTAATCATGATAAATAGTACCAGGGTCATATTTTTCTCTGGTTAAGATGTTATTTTTGCACTGATATCTCTGCTTAATTTCTCTTTATTCTACCTATTTTGCACAAGTGTTGATTTTATTAGAGACACCTTATATAACTCTAAGCCTCGGACATAACTGGGTCGTTTCAAACTGTTCACAAGACCCAGCCCCTCTGTATTTTAGATATAAGGAGAGGAAGAGAAGGAGCTGATAACAGTGGTGAGAATAAGAGGAAAAACTGAGCCTAACAGGATAGTGAGCAGATTAGATCAAGGTCACTCTGTTCTGAGCCACAGAGCTGAGGAGACGGAGCACATCTGTAGGGAAGAGGAAGTTCCTTAGCAGTAATGTATTAAATAAGATATATGTGTCTTTTTATATAAGATTTTAAGGAAAACCAAGATAAAAGCAAGGGATTAAGTTTCTTAAAGTGCTGATCTTTTCTTTATGCTTTAAATTCTGCTGTTTGTGGGGGTTATCCCACACGCAAGATATATTTTGGGTACACATCCAGTGCAAATAAACACTCTGCTTTTATTTTCTGCTTCTATTTCTTGGTTTCTTTACCGACCAGAACAACTGCTGGAGTTCATGCACCAGCTGCCCGCTTTCGCCAACATGACCATGTCGGTGCGGCGAGACCTGTGCAGTGTCATGATGTTTGAGGTTGTGGAACAAGCCGGCACAGTCTTACTGCACAACAAACAAGAGGTATGAATGGACTCACAATCTGCAAAACTGAAGTGTGTGACTACTGCGTCCCCCCCCCCGCCCCCCCCCCCAACACACACACACACAGAAAAACACAAAACAGGAAAATAAATACAAATCCTACAGTCACTAGAGAAACATTTCAGATTCACTTTTGCTGCAGTTCCACCTCAGATTTATCAACAAATTAATTATTATATGCAAAACGTGCCATTTATCTTCTTCATTAACACATCTGTGTTGATTTAAATTAATGTTTATTCAATCTGATATAAAACCTATTATCTGTCCTGCTGAATCATAATTATGCTATTAACATAATTACAATGAAAACATATCTTATTATTATGCAAATCAAGGACTAAGCCGTATTACTTTTATGCATTTTTGTGTGTTTTGTAAAGATTTGTTGATTTCAATGTGTCTGATAAACAACAAAAGCAAAACTCTAGAGTTTAAAAGAGCAAAGAAAAATGTTTTGTTCACAAATGCATGCACACTCCCCATCTCCAGTTTATTCTAAGCTAATTCACACACACGCAGTAAGTATGAGCCAAGCCACTGCAGTGAAAGCCCGTCAATCACCAGAGCTGCTACACGGCTAATTAATTAAGTTACATGCCTGAAAAACTAGAGCTCTGTCCTGCCTGTTTGCTTCCACACAGCAGCATTAGAAGCGACAGGGCGATAAATGGCAATGAATTGCCCACCTCTAAGCCCGGGAGGATGGAAACACACACATCTATAGCACATACACACAAATATAAACATATATATATATGTGTGTGTGTGTGTGTATAGGAAGTACGTGTCACGAGCGTCTAGGTGCCTCCTTGCTGTCTGTGTCAGGTCGATTGATGGGCAGCTTTCCTGCTCTCCAGTACGTCTCTGTGGATTCATGTTGAATGTCAAAGAGAAGCTCTTGGCTCCTCTCTGAAGTCAAAATGACTTGGCTGAATGAGGGTGAGATGGGAAAGAAAAATAAAGAGCCCAAAGTGGTTTAATAGTGGAAGAAGGAGGGGGAGAAAGTCCTTAGAGGGCTGAAAGGAAAAAAGAAATAAAAGCCAACAACAGTCGGTCAAAAAGAAGCGTGAAAGCTGCTTGATTATTAATATATTATATGACAAAATTCAGACTAGCTGCATATTTATGAGCATATCCAAAGACTCATATGCACAAAATTCTTTGATCAGATTGAAATGCATTCGGATTAAATAATCCAAATGTATTGTTTAAATGGGCACAGTCTGTTCACGGCGAGCGTTTACATGCAGCGGGCATTCATTCTGAATAGAGGTACTGACATACGCAGAGTGGTAAACTCTCCTTCAAAAAAACCACAGAAGAAGAAGTTCTACTTCTGTGATGAACGTAAACAAACCTGAGCGCCCAAAATGGGCCCGCGCCAGGTTTTATTGACGGTGGAGACGTTCCTGCACTCCCTGACTGAGCTACAGGTAGTACAGATCATTTTGAGCTCTTTCAAAGTTTCTTATCGCTCACTGACCAATTTTGCTTCCCTGACATATTAGCATCTAGCCAGGCAGAAATATAAGAAGTTGACATAGGTCGCCCATGCGCAGTCAGATCAGTTGTCCACGATTAGAATAAAATGATCAGATGTGTTTACATGCACACCGTTCAGATTATGAATCGGCATTAACCACCCCTCTCATTCGGATTACAAATTCATTTGGATCAAGCTGAATCGGATCAGAATAATCCGATGGCTGTTTAATCCGATTACTTATGTCCATGTAAACATAGCTTATGCCAAGGCTATTTCAACTGGCGGCCTGCGGGCCACTTCCAACCTGCGGGTGAGTTAAGGCTGGCCTGCAGATGAGTTCATTAATTAAATCAAATGTGTATTTTAAAAAAAAACATCTGTGAGATAAACCTTAAAAAATTTGAAATGGCAGATATATCAGTCGGACAGGCCTCCTTATGTGTCCATCTAAATTGTTAACCTTTTCATGAGCATTCAGAAGAACACTTAAGATGAGCCACCTCACCACTGTAAGCATCAACTCAACACGAGGCCAGGCGTCACACTGCGATCGCTTTTCTCCAGTGACAACAATCCTCATCACAGAAACCACTACTACCACTTCTTAACCACTCAGTGCATTCTTTCTTATATGTACCGGGAACAGCCTGTGACTCGCGGTGTCAGTTTACAGCCAATCACAGAGACGTCAACATAAATTTTAAACCAAACCTGAACAGAATATTAACAAGAACAACCCATTTCCACCCTCAGAAACATCATAAAGTCAGAAAGATTGCACATATAGTTTCCACAAGGCTACCCAGCATGCTTTGCAGCTCACAGAGTCTCTCAGGGACTCTCTCAGACAGATACTTTGTGAGTTTGTGGAAAAATAAAAACATTAAACAGCAATTAAAGTCATTATGTAAATAAACCAAGTACGGCAATGATCTTTTACCACATCTTTGCTTTTATCTGGAGCCTACAAATATGTGTTTTAGTGGTAGTAATGTTTAATTATAAGAATTAAATTAGCAGAAGCACAAGTCGCAAGGCTGCACGCTCTTGCGGGGTCACATCTTTCTCCTGCTGTGCAGCAAGTTCTGATAATCTGATCATATAGGCGTGTGATTGCCCGCGAGCTGGATTAAACAACAGATTTATTACTAAGGGAATATTGATGAGGACGCACAGCAGCTTTGTAGTTAGTTTAAAAGCATAGTTAACCACAGCTTGGATGGATTAAGTGAATTAATTATTTAGTAAATGACACGAGGGAGACGTTGCACACGTATCACGCTCGCTTTCAACCCAGCTGAGTTCTGCTCCGCCCCTTTTGGTTCCGCCCCAAGCTCACATCTGAGCGGGACGTGGACGCTTCACCTGAGAACTGGTTCTTAATGGACCCACCTGGAACAGCAACGTGTCAGTCATTCAGTCATTCAGGGAACGTCCAAAACAGTCCATCTTTTTTTATTTTATTTTGAAAAGCAGAAAGATTTGGCAAGTCAGTGATGGCAGAATAATGTTGGTGTTAACTAGGAGACGTGTCATTTTTGTTTTTAATTTTGTTTTACGTTACAATATTATCATTTTTATCACTTCATTTTATTGCAAGGAAATAAATCTTGAAATGTAATTTCTTTGAATTACACTTTGGGGTTATTTTGATTTCGTTTATGATTCAATGTGGCAAAATAAACACATTTAAAAGGCAACAGATCATTGTAATACTTGGTTTATGACTTTAGTTGCTGGATGTCCGGCCCCTGAGCTGCTGGTTTCAGTAACTGTGGCCCCCTGAGCAGTTTAGCTGAACAGCTCTGCGCTGTAAGAAACAGTTGCCTTCAGCAGCTTTGTCTGCAAAGTAACTCTGTGTAGCTGATTACCTGTCGGTCTCTCACGTGTTACTCATTCATCAGCTCTGAGGAACAAGGTATACCCCAGGTGGAATGAAAAAAGAACAATCTGACAGGTATAGAAAGCGAGAAGAACGTTAGAGGTGAATTAGAGATTTTCTAGGTGAGAAGGAGCAGAATGAAAAGACAATAAAGAGAAAATATCAGCTTTCGCTTCAGAAAGAGCCGAGGGCAAATTTATCCTCCTCCGTTCACCTCCACCCAATAAATGACTTGTTACATTATCTGTGCTGGCATTTTCTCTTCACTCACGACCACAAGATATACAATACCTCCTCTGTAATATACTCGTGTCTCGCACGATGTGCATAATGATCGCAATAGACTGCGTGTCAGTTGATATTATCTTTAAGCTGTCTTCTGTGCGTAGCTGTATAAAACTGTTTTTGTTTGTTAAAAATAACAACTAATCTGAAAGCCTATTTATATTGTTGTTACATCACGTTCTGCCCTGCTGATAGTCTAAATCAGGGGTCTGCAACCTGTGGCTCTGGGGCCAATCGGCTCTTTAGTCCCTCATCTGAGGCTCCATGAAGCTTTGACCAAAACTTGCAGGAAATTTAATAGTTCTGGTTTTTGTACCCACAACAAAAAAGGCAACGTTTGGCTATTTGTAAATGTTCTGCAAATGTTTGAGCGACACTACTATTTTTTGCTTTATTACTTCAAATTGGGATAATTTCTCCTCACATAGTCCAGATAGACCTGCAGAGTTCAGTGTTTTCCTTTTCATCTAAAGGTAAAAACTAGAAGTTTTTACTTCCTTACATCTTAGGTTTTTTTTTGTCCCAAAATATAAAAATATAAATAAATGTTAAAATTCAATATTGATTACTAGTTTTAAAATGTCACCCCCATTGGTCAGAAAAAAACCCTCCAACTACTTCAAATTAGCTCATGGGCCACCGGTTGATCATCACAGTTGTAGCAGGTTTCGTGGCTTCGGGCTCTTTTTTTATTTATTGACTGAAGGGACAGAACTGCTCTTTGATCAAAAAGGTTGCAGGCCCCTGGTCTGAATAGTTCAAGAAACAAAAGCACAATTATAAATAGGGATACACAATATTGGATTTTTGGCCGATATGCCGATATGTTAAAACTTATTTGACCGATAACCGATACCAATACCAATTTCAAAAAAAAAAAAATAATTCTTTCCCTAGACCTACTTACAGAGACTACATAGCTTTCTCTGCTGTGAAATTAAAATTCTACATTTTTCTGCATGGGCTTTGTCAATTTGGTCTGCTACCAAATGAAGATGACCAAAAGGGGGCTGAAAATGATGTAACACTCCAACTTGGATTATGACTTGGATTATGATTATGTTTTAATCTCATATTTACGCTCTCTAACACAATGACAACACTTGAACAGTGCAAATTGGTAAATTTTCACAAATCTAAACTCATCAGCGCGTTGTGCTGAGTTATTTTAATGGGATGGCAGATGTCTAATATTTCACTTGAGCGCTAATATCAGCCGATACCATAATATCGTGCATCCCTAGTTATTAAGAAGGCCAAAATAAGTTGGAACAACATTTTGTAAACTCTGTTGTTTGAATTTTAACGGTGGCCTTCAAAATCAAGTTTAACACTGGTAAATGTTTTCTTTGTGCCTCTGTCTGCAGCTGGACCACTGGTATGTGATCCTGAACGGAGCGATTGAGATCAGCCATCCAGAGGGAAGAGTTGAGACGCTTTGTATGGGCAACAGTTTTGGCATCTCACCCTCGCTGGAGAAGCAGTACATGAACGGAGAAGTTCGCACCAAAGGGGACGACTGCCAGGTAAACGGACGTGTGTCATTGACTAAAATCTGCTTTTACGCATGCGCTGCTTTACACTCAGAGGACGACACCTGAAAGGATCAGTGGATTTCCTGTAATCGTGCAGCTGTAGTTTGACCAAATCTCCCCTAAGACTAAAAAGATCTCACTTTCAATATGAATCAAGTCTGAACTGCAGAGTTGTCACGAACAAACTAACATTATATGGCAAAGCTAGAAATTTGGCTACTAGTCAATAGTTCAGAGAAAAAAGACGAATTCTGTGAACTTTAATGTTTTTATTATCTGTGAACTTTAACGTTTTCATTATTTGTCAACCTTAATGTTTTTATTATTCACCCGTCAAAGGTGGCCGTATAGTCTCCGTCCATCTGTAAACATTTTGTCCCGCCCGTATCTTCTGATCTGCGTAAGATAATTTCATGAAACTTGAAACACACATGCATCATCTCTACACAGAGTGCAATTAATGCTTTCATCACCCCAGCGCCAAGGTCAAGGTCACAAATCAAGGTCAAAGTCAAAACCATGTCTTTGCTTGTCCAGACTATAACTTCTGATCCGTTCGAGATAAATTAATGAAACTTGAAACACTTACGCATCATTGCTAAACAGAGGGTCACATACAGTTTTCATCACCCCAGCTCCAAGGTCAAGGTCACAAATCAAGGTAAAATTAAAACCACGTCTTTACTTGTCCATATCATAATTTCTGATCTGCTTGAAATACATTAATGAAACTTGAAACACTTACGCCTCGTTGCTAAATGGAGGGTCACATACACTTTTCTTCACCACAGCTTCAAGGTCAAGGTCACAAATCAAGGTCAAATGTTATAAATGGTCTTTTGTTTGTCCGGGTCATTGCTATAGATTGCTGTATTGCTGTACAGTAGGCGATCGGCGTATAATGTGTCGTACTCTTGTTTATATTAACTAACTGCAGCACAAAGTTTTTTTTACTGTTGTCTGAACCAAATAAACAAAAAGAAAAACACATTTTAAAGCTTCACTTGAAGCTCCTCTTCAATGCATGAGCTTTTATTAATCCAAAATATAATTTTATTAGCAAACAACTTGATAAATTTGTAACTTTAGGGGAATTTCAAGTTTAACTGTATTATTAATAGTAAGTAAAACAAATAATGATAATCAAAACGTGAATGCAAAAGAGACCAGTTCAGATTAATCAAAATGCAGACCACATCGTCTATGTGGCTGCACGTTCTTTTTAACGAAGGAAAGAGCTTGAAGACGTTTCTCACTTGTGAAAGCAAAAATAGTCTGTTCCTGTACAGTATTTTTTGTACTTCTGAAACACAGCGAAGAGTCTGTTTTCTTTTATTTTTAGGCCTGCTCTAATTAAATATAAACCGAACAATCTGTCGCAGCAAAAGTGTTTCCATGTCTTCCCCTTTTTGTGAAGAGTACATAAAGTTCTCACTTTATACACTAATAGTTAATATAATAAATAATTAAAAATAAAATGATGGATCTTTTCTAGTAGGACTCATTCAGGACAGAAGCTCATAGTTCTATATATTTAAAAAAAAAATCACAATCTTGATCTGTAGCTGAGATGTTAAACGAAAAGAAGGTCTGACATTTATCCGGAGTCTTTCTGTCCACTCTGCCCAGTTCCTTGTCTTCACGCATCATTTCCTTTCCACAGATAGACAGGAAGTTGCAGAAGTAGTGCTTGGTGAGACGAATGCAGAAACTGATGATTTAGTTTTGAGAAGCTCAGCAAGTCGGAGAGTCATGTAGCATTTCCTCTTCAGTGGGATATGAGAGGCTCGAACAAGTCCTCCGTCGCCAAATGGCCAGCTGAGATGATTTTGAACTCCCGGCTCTTCTTCAGTCGAGTCTTATTTTACCCATTTTAGTTTTAGTTGGGACATTTTTTATTTTTTCGCCCGTCCCTCTCATGCCTCCGTTCGCCCGTTCTCATGCTTCTTCGGTGCTGTTGTTTGAATATCCACATGTGGTGCAGAGCAGCGTTTTGCTCTACTACAAGTTCACCCGCTGTCCCCATGTCATCCTCGACCAGTTCGTCTGCATCGCTCAGGAGGACTACTGGCGCATCCTCAACCATGTGGAGAAGAACATGCACAAGGTGGAGGAAGAGGGAGAGATCGTGATGGTGAAGGAGCACCGCGAGCTCGACCGCAGCGGCACCAGGAAGGGGCACATCGTCATCAAGGTTTGTGACTTTTGTTGGTTTCGAATGAAAAGTTTGATTTTGAGGATTCTTCAGTTTTGCTTCTCTGAAAACGCTGTTAAAGTTCTTAGATTTTCCCAGTTGACTTTTTGTTTAGGATTTATATACTTTATAGACACGATTAGTATCTGTCAAACTCAAAACGTAAATTGAATGAGGGTAGGAAATCCAGTATGCCACATGTTAGGGATGCACGATATTATCGGTATGATATCGGTATCGGACGATATTAGCGATAAAGTTAAATATCGGACATTGGCCGTTCCATTGAAATAACTCACCGATATAAAAGGTGCTGTTTTAAGTTAATTTTTAATTTAAGCAAATTCTCAAGTATATCTATAAATGCACTACTACTTACGCGCTTTTCACTTGTCGCTTGTGAACAGGTTGAGTTTAGATTTGTGAAAATTTACAAATTTGCACTGCTCGAGTGTTGTCGGAGAATAAATGTCATAAATAAATTTTACACTATACATAATCCAAGTTGAAGTGTTGCATCATTTTCAGCCCCCTTTTTGCCTTCTGCATTTGGTAGCAGGTCAAACTGACAAAGACTATGCAGAATAATGTAGCATTTTAATTCCACAAGCGAAAACGATGTAGTCTCTGTAAGTAGGTCTAGGAAAAAATATATATCAGTACTGGTATCGGATATCGGCCAAAAATCCAATATCGATATCGTACATCCCACCAGATGTTCAAGGTGCAAGAAGATAAACTGAAGTTGTGTTTAATTTCAACATTTTCCAGTCAGAATGAGAGAATTAGATGTTTAGCAGTATTAACATTAAGCCAACAATCTTTTAATCATGTTTAATTTAACCCCGAGCTTGCGTTAACCTCTAACATGAAAAACTCGCTTGTTTTCTTACTATTCAGGCCGATAATCTCCACCATGCGTTGGATTTATCTGACCCATACCTTATAAAAAAAAAAAAAACCAGTGCAGCTCGATCATTTTTGTTGATCGTTATAAAGCACCGCTAGCAGTATATTGTTTGCTGGAGCATTTTCTTGTCCACTAGATAGCTCTGCCTTCCAAAGCCTTTTGATCCTTTCCCTAAAGCTGCAGAGGGCAGCCAGGTATTGATCGGATAATGGGCCTGAATGATTCTCTTGGCTTCGGCTCAGAGAGAAACCGTCGGCTCTAAAACACATCCAGTGGAGAGGAGTCAATTCACAAGTGTTAGCGTTTCCGCTTCTTCATTTTGGACTTTGTTCTTTTCGTGTCAGACAAAAGTGGATGGCTTTCGAGTTTCTCTTCCCTGTCAAATGAATCGTTTCCAGCACAAACTTCTGTTCTGGTGCAGTTAACAAACGTGCTGAACTGGGAGGCATCGTTGAGTCCCTGAACGTTTTACAGATTCTGCTTCTGAATACAAATGTTGATCCGCGTTGAGATCAAGAATTCACTTTCGAATGCTTTTATATTTTATTCTCAAACAAATTTAAGGCGGTGACATTTGATACATTTTTTACTTTGTCGTACGAGTCTTCGTGTGTGTTTTAATGGTAGCTGGCTGAAAGCTCAGTTCAGTAACTGTGTTTGTGTGACTGAAGCATTCACACTATTGTGATCCATTTTTCTTCCCCGTACATTTTTCAGTGCATTTCTCATCCCGCAGTTTTCAAGATATTTCAACAAATCATATCAAAACGTTCAGCTCTTTCAGGAGAAGAGTGCTATGACTTTTGGTATTGGTGCAACTTTAGCTTTTTGAAATATTTAGACTTTTCTGCCTTTTTCTCCTAAGAAATGAATTAAGCTAATTTTTCATCCTTCAAATCTTTACATCTGTTCACAACCTGTTACTGCTCCTGCCACATGTTGTTCTGGTTCAGCTTCTCTCAGATCATTGTGCAAATGTAAATGTTTTTCAGCTAATTTCAGCTGTTTTTTCAGCTGTTTTGTGCTCCCTTCAGCGTCCCTCTGCTAACTACAATATGTCTCTGCTTCTTTTAACTACTTTCTGCTAATGTCAGCTTGTTAAACTGTTTCCAGCTTATTTCTGCAAGGTTCAGCATTTTCTACTATTTCAACTACTGCTGTTTTCATGCTAATTTTAGCTTTTTCAGCTAATTTCACATTTTTCGCACTCAACTTTTCAGCATAATCCAGCCAAATTGTTCTCTCTCCACTTCCTTGTAATTTAAACTTCTTTCTGCGTTTTTAGCTACTTTTCAACTGTTTTCTGCTAGTTTCAGGGTTTTTTTTTTTTGGATAATTTCCACTTTTTTTGCTCATTTCTGCTTCTTTCAGCAAACGTGCTTTCTTCTGCTAATTTAATCTTGTTCTACCCTTTCAGCTTCTTTTTTAGCAGTTTAGCTAATTTCAGCTGTTTTCAGATAAATTTGTTTTTCTTGATAATTTCTGCTACTTTCAGCCTAATTAACTTATTTCTGCTAATTTCAGCTTTTTATGCTCCTTTCAGTTTTTTCTGCTCGTTTCAGCTTATTCTGCTATTTCAGCTACTATTTAGCTGATTTTGTGCTAAATTTAGCTTTTTTTTTGTTTGGCTAATTGCACATGTTTGAGCTCTTTTCAACTCCTTCCACTTCCTCTGGGTAGTTTGAGCTTCTTTCTGTCTTTTCAGCCATATTTTTTGCTAAATTCTTAATTTTTGTGCTCATTTCGGCTTAATTAAACCAAATTCAGCCAATATGTGTTCTTTCTGCTTTCTTCTGCTAACTTAGGCTTGTTCTTTGTTTTCAGCTACATTTCTGCATGGTTTTAGCTAATTTTAGCTGTTTTTCAGCATTAAGCATTCACACTGAATTTTCGCAGGAAATGCAGTTTCTCTAGTTATTATTTACTCTTACTCTTTTATGAGTAATGACCATGCAGTCTGTTCAGAACAGAGCCTGACGTTGCAGTTTGTTTCATCCTTGTGTGATTTTTGTCTATCTGCGCGTGTTTCTATGAGTTTGTTTCACCCACTGTACGTTTTGCTTACTGCAACTTCATGAATGAGCGTTTGTTTTTAACTTAGGGAACCCCTGAGCGTCTGATCATGCACCTGGTAGAAGAGCCGTCGGTGGTGGACCCCACCTACATCGAGGACTTCCTGCTGACCTACAGGACCTTCCTGTCGAGTCCCATGGACGTTGGGAGGAAACTGCTGGAGTGGTTCCAGATGGACGGTCTCCGGGACACGGTCAGTGTGTGCAGTTACATCTTTGTAAGGAAACCCTGAGCTGTTTTTTTTTTACTTCTTATGCACCCTAAATAGCCTGTAACAAGATGAAGTATTGAGTTTGAAGTTTGGTTAAAAGAAGGCACGTGTAAAGCTGATTTAGACAACCTTTATATGTGCCACCAGAAGACGGGAAAAGTTCGACAGTTTAGGTTTTATTTTAGTAGAAAGCTGTTTTAGCCAAACGTTCGTCTTTTCATCCATCCTGTTTTATTGCTTGTTTTTAAGCAGCTTCTATCAGCTATTTTTTTTAACTATGGAAATTTATGTGTTGCCACCTGCAGATCAATACACATACAGCGAGCTCAGCTGTCCTTGAGCCAAGTAGCGATTCGTTCATGCCTGATGCTCCCATCGTCCATAACGGCTTTAACCTAAGATTATTCCTGTATTGTCAATAGTCTTTATGTAGTTGTCATTTTGGCTCATAAACTTTCACCCCCCACCCTAAACAGGATTGTGTACAGAGAAAACATGGAGGGAATAAGATGTGAATACTTAGTAAAGATTAACGTGTTGCAAAAATGATTGTTCTTCAATCTGTTTGTATTTGTATTTTTCTCATAATTATTTGACACAAAATAAAGTCAGAAACTTTGAGTGTTTAAACTGTTTCTCTGCATCTGTACTCTACTCCTCTGTACTCATCTGTACTCTACACATCTGT